GTAAAGAAGTGTATGACACTTATGAAACTATCGTCCTCAAATAAAGGTGCATTCATTCATTCATTCATTTCTATCTATTCTACCCCACCCATCCATCCATCTATTCTATCCTATTCATCCATCCATCCATTCCATCTATTCTATCCCACCCATCCTTCTATTCCATCTATTCTRTCACACCCATCCTTCTATTCCATCTATTCTATCCCACCCATCCATCCATTCCATCTATTTGTCCCACCCACCCATCCATTCCATCTATTTTATCCCATTCATCCATCCATTCCATCTATTCTATCCCACCCACTCACTAATCCATCCATACATCCGTCCATTTATTTCGAATGTATTTATTTAAGTCCGAGCTAGAGACATTGCGAGATGAATTGCAATTTAACAACCACAAGATCGATGAATATGAAAAGATGCTCCAAGGAGAAAGACACAGAATACGAGAACTTGAGCAAGAACTTCAGGTAAGAAAATTCCTAAGTAAAAATACTGAGTTTGACCCAGAAACTTAAATGTAATGATTTGATTGCAGAATACAAATGAAAAGCTACACTTCCAGACAGAGACGAATATTAACCTCATGGCTCAGCAGGATAAGAAAGAGGTATTTTCATTAGACACAAAGGGTATTTGCCATATAACCCTCAGTATAGAGGTCGGTCACTCCAAAGCCCTACTATATAGAGGGCCCTATATAGAAAATTAATTTGGATGATAATTACCACCTGTATCATAGTTGTTGGTGGTTTTCAAATAAGGTTTATTTATCATTGTATTGACCCATTTGCCTAACGTAAATGGCTTTGAAGGAAGATAATGGTCGGTAACAAAACACACCCCACATGCCATCCCTATCCTCCTCCCCCCAGGATTCTCCCTTTACGAATGAGCACCTTTAAATGAAATCTAACTTTAACATTTCATTTTTTGCAGGAGTCTCCTGTTGCTATAGAACAATTTCAGTCATTACAGTCAGACTTACAGAAGTGTAACGCAATATGCGAGCAGCAGGTATGATACTAGACCAATGGCAATCATTAGAATCAGACTTACAGAAGTATAACGCAATATGCGAGCCGCAGGTATGATACTAGACCAATGGCAATCATTACAATCAGACTGACAGAAGTGTAACGCAATATGCGAGCCGCAGGTATGGTACTAGACCAATTGCAATCATTACAATCAGACTGACANCAGACTGACAGAAGTGTAACGCAATATGCGAGCCGCAGGTATGGTACTAGACCAATTGCAATCATTACAATCAGACTGACAGAAGTGTAACGCAACATGCACAAAACCAGCCTTATCTCAATCACGAATAGAATAGAGTCTCATTCTATTTTCCTCGTCCTTCTTTTAAATTTCATAGGCAAATAACACAGCTGAACTCACTCAAAAACTGGAAGAAAAAGAGGAGGAGATCGCATCACTAAAGAAACGAAATGAATCAGACAAGGTAATAAAATATACTCAACCCAGTACATCTCGGTCACTTTAGTAAAGGGTTCCCCAAAACAAAGTTAACTAAATTTCTCTTCATCGTAGGAATGTGTGGCCAACCTAATGGAATCTGTCGTTGGTCTGAAGAAAGTGATCAGCGAAAAAGATGTAAGTTGTTGATACTTTGACTATGTAAGTTGTTCAAACTTTGTCAGCATAACATGTTAATTATTATACATAGAGATATGGAAAGGAAAAATAGCGGCTGCACACACTTGTGTTCAGCGGTTTGTGTGAGGCTGACTTGACTAGCAATGCCGTGACCGTGACGGTACCATGTCTTAGAACTGATTTTAATTGGCTGAGAAATGACTTCGAACACTGTGATTGGCTTAAAGGATGTCAACAATTTCGTAACGTGACATCACCATGTACCGCACATTTCACAGCTACACCTAATTCAAAAAACGTCGTAGGTCGGAGAACTGAAATCTGAGACCGAGTAGCACGCTGCAAAATGTAATGTATTCACAGTTGGATAACATAGTTTCCTTTTAGATAGGAATATGAAGCACGACCTTTGAGTCAGAAATGTGATTTTTCGTATTTAAGCCAGAAAACATAAAAACACAAAAATTTATATTTAGTCTCAGATCCCCCATTTTAGATCTCAGACCGACAACGTTTTTCGAAATAGGTGTATACGAAATGTATACCTTAGTAAGCACAATCACAAAGATCCCAGTTGTTTGCCCCTTGCGTTGTGCTTGTCCTTCCTTTCCAGGTGTGATATAGCGACTGTCAGAATCGCCTTCACATGATTTCAGTTCGACTCCGTTTAGCTGCCCCACTGCTTTATTGCGCCAAGTTTTATTTAGATATGTAACTGACATGGACGTTTTTTTCCCTTTAGAACGATATCGCAGTACTATGCACAGAACTGGAAGAATGCAGAAGCAAGATACAGGAACTTTCTGATACTGTGGAAGAAAAGGTACATAGACGTTATTGAGCAAAAATCTTTAAGCTTCGGACATACGGTGCAACATTGCGCGCAATGTTGCATGCAATTGATGTTGCGAGCCATGACACACGACACAATTTGTTGCACGCAACGTTGCTGAAGTAGAAAACTATCCTACTTCAGCAACATTGCCTGCAATGTTGCGCGCAGTGTCTCACCGCTTTGCTAACAAAATATTCGTTGTTTTACTGATTTTTATTTAGAAACGAAAAATTGAAAAACTTAAGGAAAAGTTGGAGAAAGAAATGGAAAAGGCAGCAAAAGACAGGACACAACGAGATTCAGAGGTATGGCATTGATGAAAAGGAAATATTGATAGCAATGGTTGTTGTTGGTAATATAATATTGGATCTAAGATGATTGTAATGATTTCGGTGATGGTGATCAATGGTGGTGGCCAATGATGATAGTGATGAAGAATATGGTGGCCAGGAAAGTAATGGTGCCAGATTGTGCTCGTGAAAATATCGACCATGATTTTCATGTTCACAGATAAGCTTAGCGAAAGAAGACCTCAAACGTACAACTCAACAATTCAAAGAGCTCACAGAGGCATTAGAACAACAGCAACAGCAAATTGCAACCATGCAGGTAAGGAAGGAAAAGTGATGGTCATAATCAATGTGTATTATAAAGCCTGATTTACAGACACAATACTCAGGTGTAGAAAGTATTTCATGATATGTTTGGTGGGACAAAACCTTCAGAGTGCAAGCTTCATGTGCTTATATTGTTGTACTTGTACCAGTAACCATAAGAAGGTCTGGAAAAACTGCATGAACAATTCGCAATCATATCACCCATGGGAATGGAGAATGAAACTGTTGGTCACGCAAGGTATATGTTCCAGTTTTATGTATTTTTTATTTTGAAAATACAAGTCAGGAAACTGGTTTCGCGTTTTTTAAAATGCAAGAATGCAACAAGGTTCTTGACATGTCTGGATACGATTTGCTGCAAGAGCAAGTTTAAAGAGTAAACACGACATTTAGAAAATACATCTGCCAACATATGACAAGAATATTGTTTTCCTGCTCGCTGCCTTGGTATATAGTGACTACTATATCGATTGTTTTATTTTACACGGGGCCATTTGTGGTTTGTTCTTTTCTATGCTGATATAAGCACTGAAACCGTCAGGGGTAACTTTGTATTACTGTCTTATCAGTGCGCAACAGTATTACAATACAAAGAGTGCTGATATAAGCACTGTAATCATCAGGAGTAACTTTGTATGACTGTCTTATCAGTGTGTAACAGTATTACTATACAAAGAGTGCTGATATAAGCACTGAAACCGTCAGGGGTAACTTTGTATAGCTGTTAGCCTGCTTCACAAAGAGTGCTTTTCGGTGCTACCATTTCTGCTCTCGTTTAATAGCCAATGAAAACGTTCTTAACCAGAAAGCTTTGTTTTTTATCTAGGACATTACATGTAATCGTTGTCACAGACGTTGTTTTTACAGCCTTTTAAAACACGTTTTTATACTCTATAGATTTCCGGAGTAGAAAACTTGGACATTTTTATGCGTTTTTAATATTGAAACTTTTTTAATCGTTGGACTGTAATCATTCCCTTTTTATCTATTTTAATCTATTTTATCTTTTTAATCCAAACTTCCCTTCGTTTTTATTGGTTTATTGCATTGGAGCAGACAGTGGTTTCCTTTGTGTAGTCTGGCTGTCCATCAATTTCTTTCTTCTGTTCTTCCTTACCTCAAGGCCGTCAGCTAACACCAACCAACTCATTCTCCTGTGAATTGGTAAAAAACAGTCTTCGCTCTTCCTGACAAATAATCAACTCGATCTACGTAAAACTAGCCCTCAGCAATCCATTGACGACACATCCATCTTGAACTAGTTTTTATACCAGAAGAAGTCTTGGTCGCACAACAAACCTCCAAGACCAACAGGGTATTGTGTTGGGAATCATCCAATGATATCACAAGTTGAAAGTGTTTCCATCTAGAGTGCAAGGCAAGGTGACAAACTAATATACCACATGGTGTAACAGTGCCGAATTGGGACGTGAAAGAAGGTTTTGGAAAACAGCTGTGGAGCAATATAGATCCTGACTAAGACAGTCGGGTGATATATTTCCTATTAAAAACAAACATACTTTTATTGGCTTTTAAATAATACATTTACAACATCTATCATGGAACATGGTTTTTAAACCAGGTTGTCTTGTAGATACTGAATTCTGCATCGTGAAAAACAATGACTCACTTTCTTCCCTAAGATCTATCGACTCTGTTTGGTTGGCTGTGCGTGGTTAACCAAATAATTGTTATTTTTGGGATATGCCCGTCCTTGACTCCACCACACGGTTACCAATATGGTACAAGTTTACACACAAAGTTACCAATCGGATCAGACGTTTGCATGATGGCTTTGTTGACCTCTACTACCAGAATCCCTTGAACACTTTCTGACTATTGTGAAGTTAAATGAGAAAGAAAATTTCGCAAAGCATTATGGTAGTGGGAGACAAATGACGCCATCATGCAAACGTACTATTATGTGTAAATTGACAAGTTACCACAGGGTTCCCAGCTGTATGTACACGGTGATTGAGGCAGCCTCTACCAATTGGAAGTGTGTTCAATGATCGAAATTCTAAGGAGAATGCAGAATTTAGTATTTACATCAGGCAATGCTTTTTCAAATATATACATATGAAAACTATATCGACCATTTTAAGATAATATTTTTATACCTATATTTAATATATAAATGTTTTCTTTGTAAATAATTCATTCATAGATTTTATCTTCTAGTCATTCATGAGTGTGGACGTAGTATGTAATTAATATTCTAGATTTCCTCTTGTATATAGTCTGATAGTATTTATTGTTAGGCTATGGGTAAGAAGCCAAGTACTTCATGTATTGTTGATTGTTTGTTCTTAAGGAAACAGACAAATATTATCTTTGGCATATGTTTGAAAAGGTGTACAGTAGATAACCATTCATAAAGGACCTTGGTGCTGGCAGTCAATAGCCGCTTTCGCAGGAATTTCTCCTTTTCTTATGTTTTGATTTCGGGATCCCTGTGGTCAATAGGAGAGGGGTGGACTGAGTTAAGAGGATGTAGTTCTTAGACTCCTTTCGACCATTGCCTCGGTCATGTCAATAAAGGCCCGTTTACACAGGCGATTTTTGCAGCAATTTCGAGTCATATTCAAGAATGGTACAGGATTAACTTGTAAAGTTTTGTTACGGACACCAAGATTACCTGGAAAATAGAGATCTTTAGAAGCACCAGAGGAAATTTAATATCATGGTTCTGAAGCATTCTTTCGGCATGTTGCTCACATCTTTCATCATGTTGCTCATATCTTTCGTGAATAAACATTATAAGATAAAAAGTACGACCAAAGGTAGTTGTGTGTATCCAAACAAAAACTTTTCATCGAACCTAACCAAAGGTCGTGTCGAAACGTCGTTAAAATACTGAGTTAAAATATCCGCCAGGACATCCCCGAGGTCACCAGAACTACTAAATATTTATTATATCTTTTAAAATCGCCGCAAAGACCTCAAATCACTGCAAAAATCACCCGTGTGAACAAACCTTAAGATTCCAAAAGGAAAGAATTCTGCAAAATAGGCTATAAAGCACGCAATACAATTCCGGCAAAAAAATAAAGGTACATATCGTGTAAAAGATACGTCATTCGGAAGTTATTATGTATTCTAATGTATGGAACGGAAGGGATGGGTCTATTAGTTGATAGGGACGGGGAAATTTTTTCGTAATAGATAAAATAAGGATTAATTTTATCCACAGAGTCACGCCCATATTTCGTAAGCAGAACTCACCTCGTACTTGAATACATGTTGGTACAGATTAATAAATTTACTAAGTTTAAAATATATTCTTTTGCCATTCGTTTTATTTGTTAATTAAGAAATACTTCATCCTAAACTTTGGTCATTTACAAAAAAAAAAGGATGTGAGTAAGATGATAAAAGGATGTCGACCATGTTGGATAAAATATTTTAGATTGTCATCCATAATGGAGGCTTTGGCTTAAAATGAATTTTCAAAATGGTGGTTCATCACATGAGGACAACGCCCCACGTGTACAGAAAAAAGGTTGTCTTTATATTGGAGGTAAGAAGACGATATAAGCAAGCAAGAAATTTCGTTTGCTATAGTGCATAGAGGAATGATTAAAAAAGGAAACTGCGGTTCTTGTCAAGGCGAAGGTGGTTGTGTTTTGTATCTCGTTTTACGTTGCTGCTTTCGATTTTAGTCAGTAGACCGAGCTCGCTAACTGGAAAATAGCTTTTGATACCTTTTATTCCTCTGCTTCCATCGTCAAACCCGTGTAATGCTGCGTTGAGTTCTCATCTGTTGCACACTTCCTGCTGAATACAGCTTTCCATTCGTTGTCTTTCACGGTTGTCTCTGCCTCTCTTGGAACCTGGCTGACGCGTGTCTTTATTTGCGTCCTTTATTTTATCAAATCCTAGTTATCGACTAGATTTGTCGATCATGATTTTATCCCACTTCTGCCACCATCATCGTTTCTTTATTGAGCTTTGTCAACTATGCGTCTTATCTTAATTTGCTATCTACTGTCATCTATGTCTTCCTATTGATGTTTCTTGTGTCCTTGCTAAGATCTTTGATACCCAAATGCTTCCCAAAGAAATTGTTGATCCCCGCCATTGTTTATTCAGTATTTTTCGAGGTCATCATCAAAGTGCTTAGGGGGTCTTTTTGAATGTCCTGTATAATATATTTATTCACTGGTTCGGTATTTTCGAATTGGACCCCATGGTCCAGTAGTTCCCCCTCACGAGAATAACGGCATTCCTGCGTCGTGTGCAATGCATCATGGGTTCATTTGGTGCCTAACCACAGAAGTACGGAATCATGGGAAAAATAAATTTGAATTGTTTGTTGTAGGAGGACCTTAAGAGCAAGACAGACAAGATAAACGATCAAGAAAACGAGGTAGGGAAAGAAGATATCCTGATATTGTACACATTCTACCGCAGAAAATTACTGTAGCATGCTCCCCTAAAGTGTTTCGAAGCACTCTGCTGTGCATCTTGCTTCTCCTAACACTCCCCTTGTGTTCTGCCAACCCTCGTGTGCTTTATAACTACACACAGCACGCGCGCGCCTTTTGCATTTTTTTGTTTGCCATACTACACCTGACATACTATACCATAGCACAGTCCACGACACTGTAGCACATCACACTACAACACAACACATTCAATACACCACACTACACCCAGTTTTAATACAGAACATTAGTACACGACACTACACCGACTCCACTCAAATATCTTGGTCAATGAAAAACAAACTCGAATCAAAAACTATGCCTAGCATAGCATTACACTACAGGACACTAAACAACACATGTTACTGCTCTACCCAAGTGTAAAGGGTATTGAATTGGACGATATAGATTTCCTAATATTTTTTCAGTTGGCTGAACTAGTGAGTTCAATCGGTGAAATTGAATCAAAGAATGAGGCTCGTATCTCAGAACTCCAACAACTGGCAGAATCAAAAGACAACTCGATAGTCATGATTGAATCTCAAGCAACTGACTTGGAGCACTACAAACTAACTCAAGTAGGTGTACAACAAATAACTTTGCTGTTTGACGGGCATCTTGAGTTCAGGGTGTATTTCCAGGGGTAGTCATCATCATCATCATCACCGTCATTGACACTATAATCATCACCGACATCATCATCATCATCACCATCATCAGTATCACTATTATCGTCATCACCAATATCAACACTGTTATCATCATCACCAATAACTTCTATCATCAGCATCATTATCACCGACACCATTATCATCACCATCATCATTGCCATCGCCATCATCACCATCACTATTATTATCATCACCGATATCAACACTATCATCAACATCATCATTGCCATCGATATCATCACCACTATTATCATTATTATGGCTGTACGAAAATTCTCGACCAAGATGTACCATGTGGGATTCCAGAGGATGGTGAAGCTGCGATGTTTTTGTGAAAGAAGTTTTTTTAAACCCTCTTTTTTCTATTTTTCTTAGGTGAAATTAACTAAAGCCATCGAGAATCTAGAATTAGGAAGACAGGAGAAGAACGAAGAACTGGCSACTCTGAAACAAAAACTAGAACAAATAAGACACGAAAACGAAATGCTTGAAACGAAAAACAAGACTTTGAGCTATCAACTGGAAGCTGAAGTAGATGAGAAGGCAACCAAGTAAGAGAATGATCCAACATCCTTCCTTCCTTCCTTCCTTCCTTCCTTCCTTCCTTCCTTCCATCCTTCCTTCCTCCCTTCCTCCTTTCCTTCATTCCTTCCTTCCTTTCTTTTTGTTCGTTCTTTCCTTCCTTCGTTAATAGTAGTTGTAGTAGTAAGCTTTAATTAAAGTGGAATTTAAGAGTAGCATTTACATGCTAATATCTCCGTCCCTTCGTTTGTCCCCTCCTTGCTTTCGTTCCTTCCTTCCCTCCCTTCTTCCTTGCTTTCTTTTCGTTCGTTCTTTCCCTTGCTGCGATAATAGTAGTTGTAGTAAACTTTATTTAACGTCGGATTTAAGAGTAACATTTACATGCTAATATCTCCGTTCCTTTCTTCGCTCCCTCCTTGCTTTCATTCGTTCGTTCCTTCCCTCCCTTCTTCCTTGCTTTCTTTTCGTTCGTTCCTTCCCTCCCTCCTTCCTTTCGTTCTTTTCGTCCTTCCTTCTTCGTTTCCTTTCTTTGCTACTCCCTCGTTTCCTTCCTCTTTTCTTTCCTTCCTCCTCTACAAACTGTTGTTCTTACCTTTTAACTTTTTATATTTTTTTTCTTTTTGTTTCACTATATTTCCTGTTCTTTTGCTGTTTGTTGTTTTATTTCACAATCGTGTTATTCTTCGTCTTGTCCACCAAACAGGACCAATACCTACACTACAGAACTAACAAGACTAAAAACAACCGCTGATCAAGTAGTAGAAAAGAACGACAAACTCAACCAAGAACTGGTAAGCAAACAAACAGGGCAATACAGAAATAAGTATTGCTGTATCACCTGCCCTACGTCGCAAATTGTTAAATAAGTGGAAGCAAAGGCAAGCAAACTTGCACCGATGTGAGGCTTATGAACAAAGGGATCTTGCATAATTCGTGACTTTTGAAGCACGCCAAATTGCTTTGAAACATGCTAAATCTGTCATATGGCTAGATGACAAATTGAACCTTAAAGGTTACAAATACTGAGGCGATACGTAGGGTGAGATTGCCTAAGTTTCACCTGACTTTTTACGCCTTGTACAAAACTCATATTTGAAAAAAATTCCACAAGGATTTTCAGATTTTCAGATTTTTATTTTTTCTATCATTTCAAAATTTACCATTATTGTCATAATTCGCTTTTTTCAACCCTTGACCACCGATTCCCTGTCAGGAGAACCATTTCTTGGAGAAATTCAAAAGTTCCTATATTTTTTTGACTCCGATTCTTACTTTATAGGAAAAACTTCAGGACAAGTACACAGACCTCGAGTCTAAGTGAGTATTGGGAATAGTGTGTTCTTAATATCCATACCATACGCGTGCTACTGCTAACAAACTGATCAGTATTTATCGCCTTAATTAGGAGGCATCGGATAATTTTTTTCACGACATCATAAAGGTTTACGAACCCTCCCCCCCCC